GGACTGTTGGAACTCTAGGTATAAATTATATCATTTCCCTCAATCCATTGAGCATGGCAACAGCTGTCATAGTGAAAAACAATGGCAGGAAAGATGTCTCATTTGATATTTGATGCCTTCTTTCAGGTTGGCCTGAGCTGGACTGCTGGAACTCTAGGTATAAATTACGTCATTTCCCTCAATCCATTGAGCATGGCAACAGCTCTCATGGTGAAAAACAATGGCAGGAAAGATATGACAATAACTAGTGCACTATTTAGCAATGTGAAGTTCAAGAAAAGGGGAGGGACAGCAGTCCAAGGACTTGGAGGCTGCTTGTATTGCACACACCCTCCTCTATCTTCTTTCGAGCTCTTATCTCCATCTGAAGCAATGCAATCTCAACCTGGAGGATGGTTTGGTTTCCATAGCGAAGAGAAACATGGTGTTATCTGGAAATGGAAACAGACAGATGTTCCTCTCAACATCTTGAAGCAAAAGCTCATATCATTAATGAAAAACATTTTTCTATAACTTCTATTAAAGTTTCTTAAGAGATATCCTCATAGTTAAGAGTTTGAATTTTCATATTAGAGATATCAAGTTTGAATCTTGGAATGGGAAAGGAATTTATGAAGGGAAGAGCTATCCCCTATTGTATATCTCATCATTCAATGTACAAAAAAGGAAAAACTTATATTAACTCCATGAACAAACAAACAAAATGAGTTTCACGCTAGAACAAGATGATCTCCTTCATCCCAAGTATCACTACATATCAGTGCTATGAGAACTACAAGTAGAATGGAAAGAGCATCAAAAGCATTTTGGAACCTTTATTCCAATGGCTGATATCGTTGCTAGACTTCAGAATTTCAGTTTTAATAACGGGAACTACCTCATGAGACTCTTGCAGATCACCATCAGCAGGACTATCATCGGTTGATGATACAGATTCAGAGACACCTTCATATTGCTCACCATCATTACATAAACTTTCCTTCCCATTAACCTGATGCATCAGATCATATCGAAAACCATTTTGCCTTTGGGATGGGCAGGATAGGAATCTTCCAGAGGATGGACTTCTGAACCTCCTTGTTTGTTTTTTAGAGAAATCTAACTCAACAATATTAGGGTCCTAAAGTGAGTGAATTAGTTTCTTCTTTTTTCTTTTTTTCTTTTCTTTTTTTTTTTTTGATTTAAAAGCCATACGAGAGCTTTATTTAGAACTTCAAAACAGGAAGCAAATACATGATCAGATATGGTGCATATCTCCTGTTACAATAGACATAATGGTAGCTGGTATAGCATCCACCCAAAACTCATCAGCCTCTGCGCTAAGTGCTCTTTGTGCGAGTTCATGAGCAGCAGCATTACCAACTCGGCAGACATGTTGTACTCGGCAAGATTCAAAGGACGCTAACAGTGCTTTGCAGTTGAGAAGAATGAGGCCCAAACTGGAGTTCATTTTGAGAGTTTCACTGGTGATTGCTGATACAATGGTTGCGCAATCAGATTCCACTACAATTCTTCTAAAAGTGAGGGAATGAGCCCACTGAAGAGCCCTCCGTAGACTGCAGGCTTAAGCAAATTCAACATCCACTACCCCCTGGCCCTTGCATGCCATAGCTGCAAGTACCTCCCCTGCATGGTTTCGCGCCAGTGCACCCATACCAAAAACACTGTTTTGGACAGATATTGCTTCATCTACATTTAACTTTATAAAACCCGAATCTAGAGGATGCCATCTGGTTTCACTAAGTTTCTGCACTACTGCTGCCCCTCTGCCCCTTGATAATACAGCTATCCTATATTCCTTCATATATAAAATGCAAAGTGCGCTGGATAATGTGCTGTGGGTTAATGAGAGTATTATTCCAGAGAGCATCATTTCGGTAAGTCCATAAATTCCAACACAACAAACAGACAAGTTCTAGCTGCTCTTTCCTTAAGACACTGGCTGTGGTATCAAAAAAATTTGCAAAGTCATCCACAGGAAGTTCAGAGACCCTCAGGTTTAAAGGACAGCCCAGCCATACTGCACGGGCCAGGGAACAAGAGATAAAGCAATGAAAAATAGATTCCCTCTCCACCCCACACAACGGGCATTCCAAATCCACGTCAACATGCTTTTTGTGGAGATTGTCCTTTGTAGGGATAACATTTTGGTAAGCATTCCAAATAAGTAAGTGCACCTTTTCTGGGATATTCAAGGACCATAACTGGTTGCCTCCAAAGAGTGTTGAGGATGTTGACGGCCCATCATGGGTCCTTGCCATAACAGGAGCTCTATAGTAACCAGATTTTACTGTGTAATTTCCATGCTTGGTAAAATTCCACATCCAGCTATCCTCCCTCCTCATCCAACTCAAAGGCATGGCTAAAATCAGTTGAGCTTCATGTGCATTGAAAGTCTCAAGGACCAAATCTCCCGCCATGAGTTCGTTTCTTCATCAATTAGTTCACTTACAAAACGAAGGTCACACCCTTGAGGCTTGGGTGATTGGACATAAAATTGCATATTACCCGGGAGCCATGCGTCACCCCATATCTCTGTACTTCAACCATCTCCAATCAAGCGTCTACATACTTGCTTTAATAGAGCTGTTGAGTACCAGATGCTATGCCATGTGAAACTACAGGGCGATTTTAGCTCTGCATGTAGCAAGTCCGAATGGGGAAAATATTTTGCCTTCATAAGTCTCACTGCTAAAGAATCCGGGTATGTTAAAAGCCTCCAGCCTTGCTTTCCTAGCATAGCTAGGTTGAAATCACGCATAGCTCGGAAGCCTAAGCCCCCTGTTCTCTTCGCGGTTGCAAATTTCCTCCATTCCATCCAGTGGATCTTGTGCTTGTCCTCTTCTCCTCCCCACTAGGCTCGACTTCTATCATGCCCAAAATTTGGGAGATCCAGCTTCGTGTCCTCTGTTGTACATTATTACTAAAAGTAATGGAGGATTTTTGCAAGTTGATCACTTGGCCAGATGCAGCTTCATAGCCTTGCAAAATAGCCATTAATTTTCCTGCTTCAGTTTCCGTAGCTCGAAGGAACAGAAAACTATCATCAGCAAAAAACAGGTGAGAGATTTTCGGTGCTTTTCTACATATTTGGATACTATGCAAACTTCCTCTGGTTACAGCATCATTTAACATCGCTGTGAGACCTTCTACACATAGGATAAAAAGATAAGGCGATAATGGATCACCTTGTCTCAAGCCTCGAGTAGGAGTGACCCGTCTTGCCTCTCTGCCATTTAGTAACACCTCAAAAGTTACTGATAAGACACAGCCCATGATTAACTTGATCCAACCATCAGCAAAACCAAGAGCCTGCATAACCTGCTCTAAGTAGGGCCATTCAACACGATCAAAAGCCTTGCTCATGTCATGTCTAGCTTAATAACTTGCCAACCCCGCTTCCTTGTTTTCCGAGCTCGCATATATTGGAGGATTTCATAAGCAATCATAAAGTTATCAGTGATCAACGGATTTGGTAAGAAGGCACTTTGTTCTTGGAAAATAACTCTTCGTAGAACCAGCTTATATCTGTTTGCCAGGACCTTTGCTAGAACTTTATAAATAACATTACAGAGGCTAATCGGCCGCATGTCCGCCATGGTTTTTGCTTCACTACACTTTGGAATGAGCACAATATGGATGAAATTTAGTTCCGGCTGGAGTACCCCTCCATGGTTCAAGAAATCAAGGCATGGCTTAACGACATCTTCTTCCACCACATTCCAAAAGTGCTGGAGAAAACCAGGTGAGAGCCCATCAAGCCCATGGGCCTTGGAAGGATGCATCTAATGAAGTGCCTTAGTAATCTCTGTTTCCGTGGAGACTTGGAGGGGGAAAGTATTATCATCTGCAGTTACTCGAGGGTTTAAACAGGAGGTCACTCGATCAATATTTGTGGGGAAGGTTCTAGAAAATAGAGAGGAGAAATAGCTTGTAGCAATGCCCTATAGCTCCACGAATTCATGTTTCCATTCACCCCCTGCATCCATTAATTTTTCTACCCTGTTTTTGTCACGTCTCCTAGATGCTTTCTTGTGAAAAAAACATGTTTTGGTCACCCTCTTGCAACCAAATTTCACGTGGGCGTTGCCTCCACATGAGTTCCTCCCTTTCCAACCACTCTTCAGTTTCAGCAAGCACTTTCTGTTCTTCATTCTGAACAGTTTCTGAGGAAGGCATATTTTTCAAAGATTCAAGGCTTTCCATGCATTGCTTTAGTTGATTCTGCACATGGCCAAAATGTGAATAATTCCAGCTTTGGAGTCTCATAGAACAAAGACTGATTTTATGCAATAAACAACTCTAGTTTCCTTCACTTGTAATAGAACTCCAACTAGATAGCACTATTTCATTGCACCCAGGATCTCGGAGCATGTCTTCGAACCAAAATCTCTTTTTGTGTATATTGTGACACTTATAATGGCTATCAAGAGTAACCCATAACGGAGAGAGTGAATTAGCTTCTTTGGAGTGGAGAAGATGTTAATGTCTTTAACGTTAATGTGACATCATGACCTCTAAAATATATGATGAGCAACCAAATCAATACCAGAAAAAGGAAATTGTATTGCAGTACAATTTTGAAGCACTAGTTGGCACAAAATATAATGAAATAAATTTGAGTAGCAATTCGGAAGGACAAATTTATCTGATTTTTTATATCTCTGAAGTTCAAAATTCTATGGACCGAAATGTAAATCTAACGTAACTTTTGAGTTTCTTATTCATTCTGGGCAAAGGTTCCAGGGCATTTCGGTTCACGCCACTTACACACTTCACTTCAGAGTTGCTCTGTTTTCCTCCATTTCTCGATTAGGGTTAGGTTCTGCGAGGAAGAAGACGACGAAGGAGAAGAAAAATTAAGAAGGGAATAGGAAAAATGGGGTTCTCAATGCAACCATACGGGATTAAGGCTATGCTAAAAGAAGGGCATAAGCATATGTCTGGTCTTGAGGAGGTAGTTCTGAAGAACATTGATGCTTACAAGGAGCTCTCTGCTATCACACGCACTTCTCTAGGCCCTAATGGTGCTTCTTTCTCTGTGATAATCCATTTTCTGGATCTATAACTGCCTTTTCGATTCATTTGATTTCTCTTGAGTTAGTTTTTCTTGGTCTTGTTTGTTAAGGGTTTAGCGTAATATAGCTGATCTACTGCAATTGAGGGTTTTGTTTCATTTTTCGTGTTTGGGTTGCATTATGTATCAGAAGGAGCAATTCCTAATTTCTAAATTTCAGCTACACACTAATCGGATTGTTTTTTTAAGCTTGAATGGTGCTTAGTTATAACCATTCTATTAAGCAATATTCGCTATATATATATTTTTGAGAATTTAATGGCTTAAAACGGCTCTGGATGATACCATTGTTTTATTTTTGCAAATTATTCAATAATTTTTGATTTTTTGGATTTGAAATGAATGAAACAGAGTATGGTGTTGGAATTACTCACTGTTAAGAGAGCAAATCAATCAACATAAAACCATGAACTTGTTACTTTCCCCCATTTGAGCAGTTTTTATTTGTCTGGTTTCTCTTATTCTTTTTTCTATAGAAGGGTTTCATAATTGTCCTTGTAATTACTTTGAACTCAGGTATGAATAAGATGTTTTAAATCATTTGGACAAGCTGTTTGTCACAAATGATGCTGCTACTATTGTAAATGAGCTTGAGGTTCAACACCTTGCTGCCAAGATATTGGTTCTGGCAGGCAAGGCTCAACAGGAAGAAATGGGTGATGGTGCTAATTTGACTATTTCGTTTGCTGGAGAGCTCCTCCAAAATGCAGAGGAGCTAATTAGGGCTAGCCTGCACCCAAGTGAGATCATCAGTGGATATACCAAAGCTATAGACAAGGTTTCCTCAATGCATTGCCAAGCGTATGGAATGGAAAGATAATTCTCTACCTTTTTGGATATATTAAACTGTTCTAATACCTATTTCTAATATATGCAGACTGTTGAGATTTTAGGTGAGCTAGTAGAGAAAGGTTCAGAAAGTATGGATGTCAGGGTTAAGGAGCAAGTTATCACCAGAAGGAAAGCTGCTGTTGCTAGCAAGCAATTTGGACAAAAAGATGTTTTATTTTCCCTTATAGTTGATGTAATATTAATTGACTATCCTATTCATTTTTTCCAGTGAGTAGTTATTTTATTAGCTCTTTGTCTAAATGTGGCAACCATTTTCTTCCCCCCTTTTGTACCGAAGGCATGTATGCAAGTTTGCCCCAAGAACCCATCAAATTTTGATGTTGATAATGTGCATGTTGCAAAGCTCTTGGGAGGAGGTTTGCATAACAGCACAATAGTTCAGGGTATGGTTTTGAAAAACAAGGCAGTGGGAAGTATAAAGCGAATTGAGAAGGCAAAGGTCTGGGGTTTATTTTTCTATTTATTTCATGTTTGTCAATTTGTTATTGAAAGGTTGGGATTTCTTGTTAGTTCTCAAATCTCTAACATATATGTGTGCATTGCCCTTTTTAAGGTAGCTGTGTTTGTTAGTGGTGTGTTGTACCTATGATTTTGATGATTACAAAACACATTTGAGTGACTAATTGATTCATTTAAGTGTGTAGTTAAAATATCAAAAGATTGCAAAGTAAGTAAACTTGGACTGCACTAAAAATGGACCAAAAGGCTTAAAAATGTGCAAAGAGCTGGCTGTTGAAACTTGCAGCTGGTTGTGGAAGTGCAGAGAGCCGGCTCTAGAAGCTGCAGCCGGCTCTACAGGTAAAAACTTACAAGTCGGTTGTTTGGCGCACGCGGAGAAAAGATGCAAAGCCGGCTGCAACTTTGCAGCCGGCTTTGAGGGTGCATTTAATGCACAACAGTCGAGTGATTTGAAAATTATTTAATGTTTTTAAAGTTGGAATCCCAAAGCCGGCTTTAGAGTTTGCAACTCGCTGTGTAAGAAAACAGAATGTGCAGGAAACCCGCAAAGTCGGCCGTAGAATTTTTAAGCTGACTCTACGGAGAAAACAAAATGCAGGAAACCCGCAAAGCCAATTGCAGAAAAGTTAAGCCAGCTATTTAGAGCCGGCTCTAGAAGTGTAAGCCGACTGTGCTGACAATTCTACAACTCGAATTAAGAGACCTGCAAAGCATTAAATGACCCCCAATGGCTAGTAATGGCTATTTTCGACCATGGGGTTATAAATATGGTTGGTGGAAGATCTGAAGCAAGTTTAGAGAGTATTGCATTAAATATCTTTACCTACCTACGTGAGCTTTAACTTGAGTTTTTGATCTTTGAAAGATTTTTACTTGTAATCCTCTTCTTGTTCTATTTGTGAGTGATCTTGGGGGTGTGATTAATCCTTCAAGAGTGATCTATAGAGAAGATTCTTGGGGTTTATCTTGTAAAGGGGTGAGATTTGAGAGAAACACCCTTCTTCTTGTAAAAGGATTGAGTGGTTCATTTAAGCCACCCTTGATTTTGTTAGTGGAGAGTGTGGAGGAAATCTTTGGTGAGTGAAGTCAAGGTAGAGGACTAGGTTCTAAGTGGTTGGACTGAACCTCTATAAAATCATTGTGCAAGCTCTTCTTCCTTACTCTCTCTTTGATTTTTGTTTGGTGGTTGCAAAAAGGTAAAAAATTTTCAACTCCAATTCATCCTTCTCTTGGAGTACATTGAGTCAACATGGTGTTGATACCTCAGCCACTGAAACAAAAGGAACTGTCTTAATCCACAGTGCTGAACAGGTAAGGCTTAAGCAGATCCTCAGATTTTTGCAAAATCATATCTCTTCCTTTGTACAATTCACTGAATTCATTATGAAATATTCCCTTGTAAAATTGTTTGGTGGATGGAGTGCTTTTTTAAGTAGATGCCATCATCCTTTCATCCTTATGGTTGTCTACTAGTCTTCATGCATGGTTCCCAATCCTCAATACTAGATAACGTCATGCCTTAACTGCCTCTCTCACTTTATTTCCAAATGCTTTTCCATGTCTTTTTCTGAAAGTATTCATATGCTTCTTTTACTAATTTGATGCTAAAACTTGAAAGGTTAACACAGTGTCATAATGCAGCTAGAGAATTATGATAAAACTGAGGAAGCTAAGATTGAGGAGCTCATCAAAGCAGTGGCTGATTCTGGTGCCAAAGTTATTGTTAGTGGAGGAGCAGTTGGTGAAATGGCATTGCATTTCTGTGAGTGTTACAAGTACATCAACCTTCCTAGTTCTTTTTTTCTTTTCCCTAATAATTCTCAACTTTGTTCTTTCTTGTCTTCATCAGAATCAGATGCAAGCTTACTAATGGACTTTGATAGTTGATGGCCAAAAAAAAATTTTTGATACACTATTTTTGATATTTGTAAATGTTTTCGTCTCGATCCTCCATAGCATTGGCTTCTAATTTTAAAGTTTCTCCTTGCAAGCTAATGGTCTTAAAAATCAGCTCAAAGTTTGAACTGCGACGATTTTGCCACACAATTGGTGATGTTGCTCTTGTAAGCAAGTTATTTCTAGATTATGTTAGGAACTGTATATTTTGCTCTCTAACATACCTGAATTTTCCAACAGTTGAAACTCAGCCGGCCAAAGCCAGATGACCTGGGACATGTTGATTCAGTTTCGGTTGAGGAAATTGGTGGAGTTCAGTTATGATAAAGAACTTCAGTCATGTTATCTTTATTTCAACTTTTGTTTAGGTTTTACTTGTCTTTCTTTAACTGTGGGTCACTATTTTACGAAGTGAAGAAGGTGGAAACAGAGTTTCTACTCTGGTTCTTCAGGGAAGTACTGATAGTATATTAGATCATCTTAAGAGAGCCGTTGATGATGGAGTGAATATGTATAAGGTGATTCTATTTAATAATTTTTTTCTTCTTTTCCTTCCAACCAGTTTGTAGTATTTCATCTCTATAAACCTTGTCATGTTCCGTTTTTGTTGGCCTTTGGAATGGTTAATTGTGTTCTTGTTAGATGTGAATTTCATTGGCAGCTGTATAATTGGTTGCTCTATACCGTTCTTTTTCCTTTGGGTGGTCAGGCAATGTGCAGAGATAGTCGAATGGTACCTGGAGTTGCAGCTACTGAAATTGAGTTGAAGAGTTTTCTTATAAAGAAATAGGGTAGTACTTGCATAGGATTATTTTATGTGTTTTCCTTGATGGTACCAAATCTGCATGGCCACCATGTCTTCTGGACAGAGTCAGACCATTTTATTCTATACATTTTGAAGCAGTTATTGCATTTATATTTTGCGTATTCTGGAATGTTAGTTCTTGCTGTTAAGTGTATGAAGATAGCTTTCCCCTGGGGGACTATTGGAATTAGGAAGATTGGTTTTTAACCTAACTTTTACAAACTTTTTGCAGATTGGATCAGTATGCTATCACTAAATTTGCTGAAAGTTTTGAACTAATACCAAGAACCCCAGCAGAGAATGCTGGGCTGAATGCTATGGATATCATATCAAGGCTGTATGAAAAACATGCATCTAGAAATGCCAAAGTGGGTGTTGACTTGGCAGCAAAGGGGGGGGAGGGGGGTGGGCTGAACTGTTTTGCAATCAATTTATGCCCAGCAACCTTTCTAGGTACTCGGCAAATTGATCAGTTTTGTGGTAGCCCTTTACAATGACTGAAACAGTTTTTCCATGATTATGAAAGCGGACCACACTATAATGGTCATAACTAAACTATATAATCAGAGAAGTCCTGCTAGTAACAATGGTCAACAGAAAGGTCTACTTACAGTGAATCTTTGGAGTTCTAAACTCAGATGAACTAAAGTGTGACCACTACATATATTGGCATGGAAGTTTTCTTCAAAATAATTTACTTGTCTTTTCCTACAGGTTTTTTGCTCTTAAATATGGTGCAGATGCTGCATGCACCGCATTACGAGTAGGCCAGGTAATTCAGCAGAAAGAAGCAGGTTGATGACAACCTAGCAACTGCTTTGTGTTAAATTTAGATTCAAACCTTCTTTTAAAAACATCTTTTCACATAAGTTGCTTGACGAGGTCCACTGTTCAAATTGCGAATTATAATGGCAAAACCAGCTGGTGGTTTGAAAGAGAGAGCAACCTGGAGGAGTGGATGAGGACTAGCCTCTGCACTGAAGTCGATTAATTGTCTTCATATTGTATCTCACTGAGCTGGTTTTGAACTTGTTTATGCATCTCTTGTATTCTTTTGGATGCCTAAGAACTTTGGCTTGGAAATTTTTTTTTATTTTAAAAAAGAAAAATTTCTTGTTCTTTCTTCAACTGTTACTTGAATCTCTTCAGTGGCTGTAATTCTCTACTAAAATCTGATGAATTATTTTTCATTGTCTTAGTAGGTTCTACAGCAAAAGTGAAATCCGAGTGTGATGTGATGCTCCTTAGACGTTGGAACGATTTCATTGTCTTAGTAGGTTCTACAGCAAAAGTGAAATCCGAGTGTGATGTGATGCTCCTTATACGTTGGAACGGGCATGTCATAGATCCCAAAGATAGTAATTTTACGTGTCTGAAGTTTACAATAAATTGCCAGATCTGGTTATTGTTTTGAGAAATTAACTTGGCCAATTCTTCAACCTCTACACTTTTCTATTTCTGAAAATTTGTTTCCTTTTTGGGTCTCTGGGATATGGCGGTGGGTTTCATATGTTGAGCAGTATGTTATACCATAATTGTGCCTTACATTTGCCTTCAGAGTTTTTCTAGTACGGATTGTCTGATGGTGAAATTTCAGAATTCAGAAGGGCAAGGCTAGAAATGGATCAGTCCATTTTTACGGCGAGCTTCTATATAAAGGTTTTAACTTTTTACTTCAACTCCAAACCAAGATTTTTAAATTAGTGAGCATTAATTTGATTCAGATTAAGTTCTTATTAGTAAATGAATTTGTTTTCGATAGCCACTTACAATTATTGGATCAGTTTTCCATGATTATGATTATCACATCTTCCTCCTATGGCATGATTGGATCAGTTCTCAAAATATTGGCATGAGCAAAGATAACACCGCCATTATCAGTATAAACAACAACGTCTGCTCTGTAGCCTCCATCAAAGAGACCATCCCACAAGTTCCTTGTGGATGTAGAGACACAGCAATGCCCTCTCAGTGGCGATTCAGTCATCATTAACCCCTGCCGGTCATAAGTGGGCGTTGCTGGACCAGGCAACGGAGGTGGTACCGGCAGGGCAACAGGAGAAGATTGCCCACCAACAATGTCCGTCCTTTCCATTAGCTTCTTAAATGGAAAAAAAATAATAATAATAACAGAAATTAAAACAACTGAGATGATATTGAGCATCAAGAAAATACAGATTAAGAATATCAATTCATACAATTAGAAAACGGAGAGCAAAAATTTAATTCCTTTTCAGAATTTTCATCCTAATCTAATTCAATTTTTCTTGTAAAATGCTGAAAATAAAAATAAAAAATAAAATCTGAAAAAAGAAATGCGAGAATCAGATCCAAAAACCAAGTGATCGACGTCCAGACGATCTCCATTGAACCCTGATGATTTTGCGAAATAGAAATGTAATTGAAGAGAAATTCGATCGCGAACCTTTTCCTTGGCCTTTGTCTGTACTTCTTTCACAATGAGAGCAGAAGACGATCAGTCCCTTCCGGCTTCAAGAAGTCCCCAACAACCTCCCCAAATTCCGCGCCGGAATTCAGAAAGGGGAGGGTGGGGGACTGCGGCGGAGCACTCAGCAACTCTTGAAATCACGCCGGACTCCAATCAAAACAAATGTCTATCCGCCGATGTCTTTACGGATCAGGCGCCCACCAGGGGAGGATTTAATCGCATGAAATGAGTCGGATTTTCTACACAACCGGCGGGCTCGTGTTTATATTAAGAATATTAGATATAAACAAAATCACCCATCCTTCAATTGTTCTATTTTTCTGCGTTTAAAATTCGTCTTCACTCCAGTCCTCCTCTGAGACTCCCTGATTCCTCCCCGTTCTTATTTTTATCCATTTTTCTTTTTATCCATCTCAGCAAAAAAGGCCACGTTAAACGCGAGGGAAACGAAATGATATCAGCCTTAACAGAGGGCTGATTTGTCGTCGCAGGTGAGTTGATTTGCGTGTAAAATAGGTCGAGGGAATGATTTGCCATTGATCGATGAGTTAAGGGGATGATTTGCATATTTTGCCTTTGAGAAGCTCGACTTTGCATGATCATCGCTTTCATTAATTGGTAACCATCTACACAATTTAAATCAAATAATAATTAAATAACGTATATTGATTTGTAAAATAATAAATATAAATTATAATAAATTTCAAAAAAAATAAGAAATGATTTTTTATTTGAGGTACTACAATGCACTTACTTTTAAGTGGTGGTATGTTTTAAAATATCACGATTTTTCAATTAATAGTTAGATTTAAAAAGATAAAAATCTTAATTTGATCTTGCTTTTCAAGGGATTTTTTTTCAAGAAATTTGAGATTTATTTTTAGGATTTTTCTTCGTTAACAGGGATTTAGAATTACTCTTGACAAGGAGTTAAGACCTCCCTTTGCAGGGATTGAAAACCTTGAGAATTGATGAGAGTCTCCAACCTTCTTGCAATTACTCCCCTTTTCTCCTTTGGTCTTCCTTTTTTTTTTTCTTTTCAATCAAATGAATGATCTATTTATAAACAAAGAAAACTTACCAAATGATCTCAAATACCCCTTAATTTAAGGATAAGTTGGTCATTTCATAAATAAATTTAATTTAAATAAAAAGAAAACCTTTAAATATTCCAACCTCCAAGATATTGAGGGATATTATTGTTTTAATTTAATTAATTAATTTTTTTTTAATGTCCACAACTTGATTTTAATTTTTTTAAGAATTCAAAAACTTTTTAAAATATAGCAGAATTAATCAAAACCTCTTACAAAATTAGATGTTAAACATGAACTTTATTAAAAAAATTTATATTAATTGAATGGACACTAACTGAAGAAATATGTTTCTATAGTAAAATATCAACTAAATGGATGTATCCCTGCCACCACTTGACACGCACACATGCATGCGCCTAACATTTTAGTTTCATTTATTGAGATTTGTGATAATATATGTATTTATTTATTTAAATTTATTAGTTATAATTTTATTTTTTTATAAATTTTTTAACATAAATTT